ATTCAACACTGCCTTTTGATACGTCAAATTCTTATCCTGGGAGTTGGTCTGTGAAGCACTAGTTACTGACCCCTGTTTGGGTCCTCGGGGGATAATAGCTATAAAGAACAATAATCAATTTAGCTACTGCAATAGCTATAGAGAGCCATAACTTATTGCAATAGCTACGAGGAGCCATAATCCATTTAGCGATTGGAACGACTACGGGGAGACATAGGCGTTCGGTGCATATATCGTGGCTCGAAGAGCGTGGCCTCATGTGTTAGGACATATGTTCTTAAGTGTCAACTAGAAACAGGTACATACTCCACTTATACCAACAAACCAAAAGACTAAGATATACTATTGCACATAGTAGGAACAGTGGAAAGAAGATTGATGAATCAAAGTTAAACAAGCAATTTGCTTGTATCTATTTGGCACTTTAGGGTATACCTAGTAGCTTGATGATAGTTACATCAATGTTGTGTAACTTAACCGGTGTGTTAAAATATGCAAATCCAATATGCTTCGATGCCCAATTTTGCAGAAATAGCAATATTCTATAGAATGTAAAAGAAGCTGTGAACGCGAATAACGTCATGTAAGAGAAACACGGATCGAGATTAATCGTTTCAATCGTTTGATCGTATAATTTCTAGGTTAGGTACATATCCTGTATACCTACCTACCTACCTACATAAGGTAAACCGATTTCGTTAACAAAGTCACCTACATTTAAGCGTACTTGCAAATATATATATTCTCTATTCACGAAATCCCAAACATACATCCCGTATGCTAGATAGACCTTTACCAACTTGACCAGGTTGTTGTTTAATATACCATTGGGAGTTCAGAAACAGTCCAGCCCCGGACAATTCACCCTAAGCGAAGCTCGTCACCCAGTACTGATAATATGGCGAAACAACTTACGCCAAATCAAAATGTGAGGCTACACACGCTCAACTTGAGCCAAGCTGATATAGCCGAGATAAATATGGCCTTGGACCAGGTTCAGAGTAAGTTAATATGTGCTAACAATATGAACCATTTCAGTTCATTAATATAAAATATAATAGGTCTTGATTTCCATGGTAATGAAGTGACCAGAGAACGTTTCCCACTCCCTAACCTTCGGGAGAAACTTGAAGCATGTGCCCGTAATGTTCACTGTGAACACGGAACAAGCATTATCCGTGGACTGAACCCTCGAGAGTATAGTCAGCAGGAGAATATTCTTCTCTTCCTTGGCATCTCCAGTTCTATAGGAGATCAAAGGGGCCTCCAAAATTCCAAAGGAGACATGCTTAGTAAGTCATTGAAACTCAAGGACTTTGAGGCCATTAATATCTTACTAAACTCTAAGCTCACATCACGGAATGGATGCTATGGGGAAGAGACGATCGCCATATACTTCATACTAGGAAGGCATTAGTAAGTGATCACGTTCATTTTCGTTGATGAGTATGCAGAACGTGTTTGCAACTAATTAAACTAACACATTTTAGCCTTTCCATAGTGATATGGGATGCGAGATCTTGTCGCTCCAAGTTCAAAGCATAGCCGAAACCGGCGGGCATACTTATGTAGCACCTCTCGGTGCGATTTGCGATGATTTGGAACGGACTAGCCCTCAGGTTCTAGATGTCCTAAAAGAATCCAAATGGCCAATTCGAAAGTAAGTAACGTGTTTCCAATAGCCCTTGACGAAATATATAAAAGCAATCCTGCAAGATAAATTGGCTAACGTATATTATCCATGGTTAGGAGCTTTAATGAATCTCCACTCTTTCAAGAATGCGCCCTTATCGGGTCCTCTGCTGGGAAGAATGTCGTTTCAGTTGACAGTGAGCGCATCGGCCCAGAACTTACACCAGAGCAAGCCGAGGCGTTGGACAAGTTTCAAGCCGCTGCCGGCAAACATAGATCGGATCTTAGAGCACAGGCTGGCGACATCATCTTCATCAACAACCTGAGTCTTCTACATAGTCGGGATTCGTACGAAGATAGTTACATGCTACATAGGCATTATGTGCGACTTTGGCTAAGGCATTCGAAGCAAGCGTGGGATATACCTTATGCAATGCGAATGCCATGAGATGCTATCTTTGGAGAAGGGGCTAAGAAGGTAACGAATAGAAAGTATCCCACTTATTCAGCAGATAACTATCCAGAGATGAGGCACGCTACTGGAACAGCTGCATTTGTTGAGAATTAACTGCTTTACTCATTCATGTCGGGGAAAAGAGTTATCAAGTACTAGATATGAACCATAGGAAACAAGAGATGTATGACTAGGTACATGTTAGGAGTTAATTACAGAACAACGAAATTGTTTGCCTACTTTCTAGTCTATCTCATGACAGTAGTAGCTACCCCAAATAAGGTTATCCTCTCTCCAGAATCACTTAGTCTCGTTCAGATCCTATCAGAGAGATCCCGTGATGTATATCATGAACAGAATAGAACAGTAGTAAGTGTACAGAGTAGGGTAGTGATCTCTCATTAGCACTTATCTCTCGAAGCAACCTTCGACGGAGCAGTGTGCCCCTTATAAACTCCTGTCCTAATGACTTTAACTCCCGATATAATACATCCGAGGCTGTGTCCCATACCCTTGATAGGTATTTTTGCATAAAAAGATCAATAGGTATTTATATTCTTTGATATAATGCGTTTTGCATGAGCTTTTTATGTTATTTGCATCTTTTTCTAATCTTATTTAATAGAACTAGTCTTTTAAAATGAGCCGCTTCGCGGCTCATCCGTTTCCAGTTCCGATCAGTCCCGGTAAGCAGCTATTGTAAAAAGCCAGGTACGTTACAACGCGAATTATACGTTCCAATCCCACCCGTTTTATCCTCCTGAGCGCTCGTTCGGTTAGTGTAGAGGATCAACATGCATCGCACTATTCATTCATGGCCCCAGCATCATGGATTTCAGTTACCAAGGGACCTGTCATGTCGCAGAGCATGCAGTAGGTAAAACAACTTCGTTGTTCCGCAAGGAACTTTAACTACAGTTGCTTTGAATCCAAAGCTACAGAATAACTCCTTTTTCCAAGGAGTCTCAAGTGAGACTCCTGACAATCTGGGAAACTGGCCGGGTCGAAACGGGAAGCATATAGGAAGAAGGTATCGTATTGGAATAGTCCGCCGGACGCTTTAAACCCCCAGAGCACCCATGGAAAAGCTCTGGAATTACGTGGTCTAGATTTAACATATAAATAAACCGGGCGAAAACGAAATATTCTAAGGTAAAACTAGCATTTAAAAATAGCTACCGGCGCGGCTGTATCGGCGTAACAAGCGGTAAACATCCGGGAGTTATATTCCAACCATCTTCTTCGTTTATAGTTTTCAAACTTCTCCTTCTAAGCTGCTCTTAGGAGCTTAGCCTTGATACCGTCGAGGTTACTTGCAATAGCAAGCTCCTCCATAGCACCGGCACCGAAAGTCACCCTACTAATACCTGTGGCTACTAAATTTTGGATATCCTTGCAGCCGTTGGGCGTTGATGCACGCTACGCCAGTCTCGTAGGCCGTCCGGCCTTGCCAGGAACGCAGAGGCTTCGTCGCTGGCTAGGAAGCCTCCTCGCGTCTATCGTTTACTAGAAATGCCGCGTCCCCACGCAGCCACGAAAAAGCCGAATTAATTATATCGTAAAAAATACCAGTCCACCGCCGTTCGAAAGGGCTGAGCCTCTAGTTTGAGCGAGTGCAGTTTACTCCTCGATCAGACGCGACGAAGCTATTCGCGAGTTTCGCGGTCATCTGGCCCTCCAAATCATCACCGAATCTCTCGGGTTCTAAACGTGACTGGGACATTTCGGTACGTCGTGGCGCGCTTAGGTGCCTCCGCGGTGCCTCCCGCGCGTTCACAAGCCGTATAATCGACATCGTGAGCGACTTCCTTTTCGAACTTGAGATTTTCACTTTTGCACCAACCGAGGAATTTCGATGCCTTTTCAAAGCTAAATCATTCTCCAAGCCCTAAGAGGTCGGATAGTGCCGGTAGTATCGTTCCTAGGTCGCTCTTGGCTTCGTCTTTCACGTGACCAGTCGAATAGGGGTAAATCTATCTCGGTCGATTTACGTTGAATCCGACTGCCCTCTCTCGGATCCAAAACTGCTAAGCAACCTTGGACCATCCTACGCTCCCGCTGGTAGTTGTTTCGAGCCTGCAAAGCCGTTTTCCGCGAATTCGAGTTTTGAGGACTTTTGGATTTTGGATTTTCGATTCTGGCAGAAGCCACGAATTTAGACAATCTTTCAAGACAGGCGTGTTCCCCACGTCTTGAGAGGTCGGCTGGTACCTTTGAAATTTTGCCTAGGCCGTTGTGGGCCGCGCTTTTTGCAAGGGAACTTGAATAGGGGTAAAGCAGGTTTGATCGTCTCCCGTCGAAACCCCGTGGGTTTTCGCGAATCCGAGGACATAGGGAAACCTTGTAGCCTCGTCTGTGCCTTCTGGGCGTCGTTTCAAGCTTGTAAAATAGGGTTTCGCGAAGTCGACTTTTCGCCCTTTTGATTTTCGGATTTACGGTTTTGCTCAGATTGACGGGTTTTAATATTTTTTGGACATTATTTTGGTCCCTGCGTTTCGGTGGGTCGAACTGTACTATTTAAACCCCTTGTAAGCTGTCCTAGGCCTCGTTCTTTAGGAGGGAAGTTGAATAGGGGTAGAAACCTTTTGACTAAATTTTGCTAGAACCCGGTGCATTTCCCCTGATTTAACGTTATAGGAAGACTTTAGATTGTTTCCCGCGTCTTCCAGGTGTAATATGAAGTTAGGAAATTCTTTTTTCGCGAAATCGAATTTTATCACATTTTAAATTAAGATTTTTAAATTTCGCGAAAGCGAGTCAAAGAAGTTTAATTTATATATTAACACATTCCCCTAATCTCCAAGATTCCAAAACGGGTCGAAATACGGGAAGGGTCGTTTCCGGAAATACGCCCCCAAACAACTCCCAAAGCATGCGGCCTTGGGACAGGAGGGCTCCAACTGCCGATACGTTGCGTCGCTAGGGAAGAACTCCTCAAATCGGATGTCGTCCGAAGCCCGGCAGTTCTCCTACGGGAACCAAACCTAAATTCGGCCGTATTCCCGCTCCCGCGCGAGTCGAGAGCTTCGTAGGAGCGTCCCCCAACCCTACCGCTTCGATTTACGTCCCTAGGGTTCCCGTACAGGCGTATTCTGCTCATAATCTGGCTACTGATTAAAGAGGCGGGTTTCATGGCCTGCCAGAAGGATTTTGGGGATTAACAAGGCTATAAGCGGATGGTTCGAGGCGTGCAGCCTTTCTACGCATACGTTATTCATTCAGGGGCCTGCTCTACAGGATAATTGAGTTGTTTTAACATACGTTTGGCCAGGGGCTCGAAAGGACGGCTCCCGTAGCCGGGACGTTTAGGAGAAATGTCGAGGCTTGCACGCGGGCCTCTTTCAGGATAGATTGGGCTTAGAATACGTCCTGCTCGTCGCAGCTCGATACGAATCCGGGGAGGGGAGACGAGGATTTAACGAGGGAGAGAATCATCCAATCCTAAGGTAAAACAAGTCGAAACGAATCAGCTAGGTATTTACGCATCCCAGGGCGTGGAGAGCATATGGATGGAGCCTAGGGCCCAGATACAAGAGTCTGCACCTGCGCGGCCTTCACAAGTCCCAAACGCTATGCCTTAGAGTTAATACATCGATAAACTACATAAAAGCCCAACCCGCGAGTTCTCGGAGTTCCATTGGCGTTGCAGATATTCAAAAGTCTATCCTGTCCGGATTTAAGGCTTTCCAGCCCAAGCTAGGGAATTCAGGTTAATAAGAGGATGGAAGAAGTCGAACGCAGTCCCGAGAGGCTTAACTCGAAGCAGAGAGGCCCGGAGGGTTCGGGGGGCTCTAGGCTCGAATCGAAGGATCAGTTAGGCAGAAGCGGGAAGGTTTCTTAGGTTTGTCCTCAGCTACCTTTTGTGTTGAAGCGAAAGGGGATAAAGAGGATTATGCTTGGGATAGATGTTAAGCGGAAGGATAAGCGTGCGACGGCTAGAGATGTCCTTGATGTTGGGTTTGCACCTGAGGAGAAAGCCGTTAAGCTTCGAGCGAAGGGAATTAATGCAGGATTGAACTGCTCTTCAAACTTGTCGGCTTTTTTGTAGATGATACTAATTTTATATAATAAACAGTACGTAATTTTTATAATTTTATTTAAAATAAATTAAATAATTAAAAGTTTAATAATAATATATAATATAAACTATAAGTTAATAATTTACACAAGTTAATAATTTATAATTTTATATTTTTTAATTAAAATTATTATAATTTAATTATATTATTAATTTTCATTATTAAAAGTTTTTATTTTAACTTAATATATTTTTAAATTATAACTTATATTCCCATAAATGTTATAATATTAAAACGTTTAATAATATTTATTTAAAAAATTACTTTTAATTATTATTTAATTATTTTTAATATTATTATCTTTTTTTAAAAACTATAAAACCTTTTTCTTTTTAATAATAAAAAATCCTTTTTTTCATAATTATTTATTTTTAACCTTATAATATTTAAAAAATATATAATTTTTTTTAATAAAATAACTTTATATCGCATCCATAAAAACACATATCCTAAAATATTTAAGTATAACACCTTAACCTAAACTTCGAGGATTTCCTTTATCATCCAGGTTCCTAAGCTGTTACTCCTTTAACCTAAGTCGTGATAAGCCTGGTATAGAGTTGCAACACAGCCCGGGAGCCTCGTTTTTGGCTACCCCGGCTAAACTTGCCACTTACCAAAAATGGAAACAGCCATGCAAGGGTATTCTTTTCAGCTGCCGCTTCCTCCTCTACATACGGCAAGGCTTGCCAATCATCTACTGCCCTATTGGATCTGCTAATTCTACCAGTCACAACATTTACGACAGGTCTGATCTTTTTACCATCAGCATTCCAGCATCATAAATGTTGGGAAAAAGGTAAACCTCCCACGATCATTAGTTGATTCCCCCAGCAAAATATGGTAACAACAACTGAATCTAATGAGCCTATTCACACGAAATAAGAAAGAGAAAACGGCGGAATCGAGGTTACCTAACCTGATCCTAATTAAATGCTTCTTCTGCCACATTAACACAATACAAGCTTACAGCAACGCCCGTCTCAGGCTAGCTGCTTGGGAATTGACATAGCGCATGAATGCATCACGGTAGACACATTAGTCCTCGGTGAAAAGGAGAGAAGTAGCACATCAACTAATCCAAAAAAGAAACTATAGAGTGGCGAAGTTCGGGATGCGCATAAATGATGCTTAGAGATGAGTACTAAGCAATGGCTAAACGGAAATCCAACATCCACATTTGTCTCAAGAGCCGGACGTATTTATGTTCTTAGGAGGGATTAATGTAAACCGAGAAGGTACAACCCTCGATCTGGATTTGCCGGCATGACAGGAGGCACTCCAGCGGTGGCATATCTGGCTAAGACGCAACCAAGAAACCCGGAAATTAGGAGGACGAGCGTGGATGACGAGGTCCGGATACCAAGAGACATGGCGTGAGGGTTATGATACAGCTTGTTCGCCTTATAGTTTGCCCAGGACTAAAGTGTTCATAGCCTTTAAAATCTATTTATATCTATAAAGATAGGCTTTCGATAAATAATTAATCTATCACCTATGATTTAAGACAACAATAAATAAAGTCATGAGATGATGTTGAACATGGTCTCAGATTTCATGCGCCTTAAAGAGGGGGGGGGGGGGGGGGGGGGGGGGGGGCAAAACCAAGGGGGTGGGACACGAGGGGCGTGCCCCCCCCCCGGGTTCTTTGGGTTAAAATAATTAAAAATGGGCGAGAAGCGCGCGGGCG